GGTACCAGGGATGCCAAGCAAGCCTGTTGTAGTTGTGAAAGGGTCTCCCATTACCCCTGTTGCTATTAAATCAGTGACTCAGTTGCCAGTGGTTGAGACAAAGGATGTCCCGTGGAACTACAAACGAGCGATAATGACACACAAGGAAAAACAAGTGGAGAAAGAATTTGTTGAGATCGGAGGACCGACTCATTTTGAGGGATGTCTTACCTCCAAATAATTGAGGAAGGCCAAGCTCTCCAAGGGTAGCCAAATGCCAGTGAAGAAATCGGTTACCGAGGAAGAGGCCGAAGAGTTTTTGAGAAAGATGAAAGTGCAAGACTATTCCATTGTTGAACAATTAAGGAAAACTCCAGCTAATATTTCTCTATTATCTTTGTTGATCCATTCGGATGAACACCGCAGGGCTATAATGAAGATTCTGAATGAGGCACATGTTCCTGATAAGATCACAGTGAATCAATTAGAAAAGATTGCTAGCAGGATCTTCGAAGCAAATAGGACCACTTTTGCAGACGATGAGCTTCCTATAGAGGGTACGTAACACAATCGAGCTCTTTGTATCACGGTGAAATGCGAAAATTATTTTGTCACCGGGGTGTTAGTTGATAATGGATCCAGTGCAAATATTTGCCCTCTGTCCACTTTGCAAAAGTTGAAGACCGGCACTGAAAGAATCCACATGAACAGTGTATGTGTTCGAGGTTTTGATGGGGAAGGAAAAGATTCTGCTGGAGATATAATGCTTGAATTGGTGATAGGGCCAGTTGGTTTCAGTGTGAAATTTCAAGTGCTAAATGTGGTTGCCTCCTATAATTTGTTATTGGGTAGACCTTGGATACATGCGGCTAAGGCAGTTCCATCTTCTCTACATCAAATGGTGAAATTTGAGTGGGACAAACAAGAAATAGTTGTGCATGGCGAGGAAGATTTATCCCTTTATAAAGATTCATCTGTTCCATTTATTGAAGCTGGAGATGGTAAGGGACCTTTAGTTTATCAAACTTTTGAAACAATGTCCGTCGAAAAGATTCCTAAAGGAAAATGCATTCCAAGGACGAGGCTATCACCTTCGATCTTCATGGTAGCTAATGAGATGTTGAAGTATGTTTTTGTGCCGGGTAAAGGTCTGGGCGCATCTTTGCAAGGTATCGTGCAACCAGTATCTCTACGTGAAAATCTAGGTACATTTGGTCTAGGGTTCAAGCCTACAGGGGATGATGTGAAGAGGGTTAAAAAGTTGAAAAAGAAAGCATAGTCGCTCCCTAAGCCTACCCCACACCTCTCCGGGTCTTTCGTCAAGTCACGGGTAGTAAAACGCCCGGTATCAGCAGTTCCAAAGCCCGTGGTTGACTTTAATGAAGAGTCGATAAAATTGTCCCAAAATCTATTTGATGAGGTCGATATAGTTGAAATTAGGGAAGGTTTTAGTGATGAAGAGGTGCATTTTGTTGGGCCAAATGTGAAGCTTAGCAATTGGGAAGCCGCTCCTCTCCCCACCTGGGAGGATTTTTGGTAGTTTGCTGTGTTTTCTTTCCGTTATCTGGATTATTCAAAGGGTTGTAACCCAAATTTCACTTCTGCTTCTTTTGATGATCAAACCATTCTATTCTTCTATTTTTCGGTGGAATCCAATTTTTCTTCTTTAGTTATTCCTAATATATGTTTCAATTTGTTTTCCTTTATATAGTTCTTGTTATGCTGGTTCTAATGACATGACATGCATGCGAAGTTTTTAGCCTGATCTTGAAAGCCAATCTAATCATGGAATAATGAAACATAGTGTTGAATATGATAAAAGATGCGTTTGAGGAAACAAATAAAGATTCACGTATGTTGAGATAATCTGAAGCTTGAATTGAGTGAAACTGAGGCAGTTAGCCTGGGAAATCAAGAGGTTGATAAGAACATACGACAAAGAAATGTCTCCCAAACAGTTTGAGGTAGATCAGTCAGTGTTAAAATGCATTCTTCCACATCAAGCTGAGGCTAAAGGCAAGTTTTTCCCAAACTGGCAGGAGCCGTTCATTGTAACGAGATTGGTGCCCAATGGTGATTTGTACTTAACAGATGTAGAAGACAAATGTGTAGAAATGACTGGCAATTCTGATGCAGTCAAAAGATATTATGTATGATTTCTTTGGTTTAAATTGTGTTTGTTTGTACTCGGCATGTTTTGAGGATTGGAATGACGAAGGCATTTTGTTCTGCTGTCTAAACACTTTATCCTTTGTTACCCCTTTTGATCCTTATTTATTTCCTTTCATACCCCTCTTTTGGAATCAGTAGCGAAATTCAACAAAGCAGTAAAGAAGAAAAGAGAAGAGAAAAGAAAAGGAAAGAAGAAAAGAATGAAAAGAAAGAAAAAGAGACAAAAAGAAGGAAAAGAAAGAAGAAAAAAAAGAAGAAAAGAAAGAAAGAAAAAAGAAAAAAAAGGGAAAGAAAAGAAAAAAGAGAAGTAACAACCACAAAGCAATTCCTATGACATGAACTACATTCGACCTGATTCCTTTTAAGGATACGTAGNTGATGATGAGTGGGTCAAAACCCGTTTGGAGCAGTTGGGTTTGATTGATGAGAAAAGATTGGCAGCAGTGTGTCATGGTCAGCTGTATCAAAAGAGAATGGCAAGAGCGTACAACAAAAAGGTGCGTCCCCGGAAGTTTGAAGTGGGACAGCAAGTATTGAAACGCATCCTTCCATATCAGGCCGAAGCAAAAGGCAAGTTCGCCCCAAATTGGCAGGGGCCGTTCGTTATAACCAGAGTGTTCTCCAATGGTGCATTGTATTTAACATATATAGAAGGCAAATGTGTAGACGTGGCTATCAATTCTGATGCCGTCAAAAGATATTATGTATGATTTCTTTGGTTTAAATTGTGTTTGTTTGTACTTGGCATGTTTTGAGGATTGGGACGACGAAGGCATTTTGTTCTGCTATCTAAACGCTTTATCCTTTGTTACCCTTTTGAGCCTTATTTATTTCCTTTCATACCCCTCTTTTGGAATCAGTAGCGAAATTCATGTAAAGAAGTAAAGGGAAAAAGAGAAGAGAAAAGAAAAGGAAAGAATGGAAAAGAATGAAAAGAAAAAGAGAGAAAGAGAGAAAAGAAGGAAAAGAAAGAAAAAGAGAGAAAAGGAAAAAAAGAAAAAGAAAAAAGGAAAGAAAAAAGAGAAGTAACAACCACAAAGCAATTCCTATGACATGAACTACATTCGACCTGATTCCTTTTAAGGATACGTAGGCAGCCTCACGGTTCGGTTCAATCAAAATAAAAATCCAAAAGTCCCCAAGCAAAGAAACCGGGGCAGTAAGTTGTGGTTGTTGTAAGAAATCTGATTCCAAGAGTTGTCATTTTGAACCCATTTGAGTTTTTTTGAGCCTTTTGATATCCTTTCTTTCTAACCCTATCCAAAAGCCCATATTACGGTCCAAAGAAAGACCTTCCGATCAGTCTTCGAGAGATGCAAAGTCAAGCAAGTAGAGGTGATTGATATCAGGGGTAACACTCTGTTCTGAGCAAGAAAATGGAAATGAGAGAGTCTTATTGGTGAAAACCCTCACGGGCATTGTAAGGCGATGGAAAGCTGAGAGAAATCAAAAATGAGAGAGTCTTATTGGTGAAAACCCTCACGGGCACCGTAAGGCGATGGAAAGCTGAGAGAAATCAAAAATGAGAGAGTCTTATTGGTGAAAACCCTCACGGGCACCGTAAGGCGATGGAAAGCTGAGAGAAATCAAAAATGAGAGAGTCTTATTAGTGAAAACCTTCACGGGCACCTTAAGGCAAAAGTGAGTTGAGGAAATCAAAAATGAGAGAGGTTTGTTGGTGAAAACCTTTCGGGGCACCGCAGGCCGAACAAGGACAAGGTTTGGTGAAGAAATTGGGATTTGAAGGTCTCGGGGCGTAATGTACGACAACTGAAAGTTGATTGGTTGGACAGACTGAGCCGATTAATCCGAAATGCGTTTCATGATCATTGGTGCCAGCTGTTCCACTCAGATAAGTCTCTTTTCTTTTTCCCTTTAAGACAGTCTTCCAGTTTTGGATTTTTCTTATCCTTAACTCTCAAAGTCATTGCATTTTATTTTTTTTTTGGGTTTATTTCTCTAAAATGTTTCCAATGTCAGTTCTGTTTAAGCAAATAAGAAAGGATTTCAAAATTCACTACCAACTTCCAAAGTTGCACAAAGCACAGGGTGGCCAAGGCATTGCTAGAGATAGTATGATGTGAAACGGGATATAGGGTCAGCAAAAGTTCCATCGGTGAAATGGTTTAGTAATTTCGTGAGAGATGCAGAGGTGCGGATAAATGGGTTAGAGATGCAACACAACAGTTTGGGTATAGAACACTTGGGTCATCCAAGGTCATATGGGTGGAAGTCAGTCAGAAAGTCAGGCGGTTCTTGGTCAGTTCGGGGAAACCAGTCAAAACAAAGCATGGTAGCGGAGAGGCCACCATCAGCAAGAAGGCCACAAACTAACCACCACTTTTTAAACTGACAAGATTTTTCTTTGATTGAAAGAGGGGCAGAAAATTTCGTTGGTTTCGGAGGAACCCTCCATAAGGAAAGGCAAGCACCAACAGGCTTGACAGTAAATTCTCAGGACCCTCCTGGAAAATGGGACCGAGTTTAAAATTCCAAACATTCATTAGCAGCAAAATCTAGCATAAATGTACCCCAAAGGAATATAAGTTGTCTTTGAAGTTTTCATTCTTAGGATAGGATTCAATTCGAATTTTCAGGACCCTCCTGAATAATGGGACCTAGCTCTAAGATTTCCATTAGATAACAAGATTTACCGTAAGTTCTGCTGTAGGGTAGCATAATTCTGCCGTAAAAGTTGTCACTCTTAAGATAAGACTTGATTTTTGATTTTCAGGACCCTCTTGGATAATGGGATGTAGTTTTAAGACTTTCTTAGATAAAAGATTTAGCAAAAGTCACACCTTTAGAAGATATAATTTAGCTTTAAAACTTTCATTGGGATCTAACTTTCAAATTCTTAATGATGTCTGGTAACATGATTCAGTTAATACTCACAAATATGCCCAGCTACCAAACTGGGGCAGAAAATTTTCTTTGTTTTGTCTATTTTGTTGAAATCAGGAGCCCACCTGGAGAGCAAGGGAGAACAACACGAGTTTCAAGAATAGAAAGCAGTTCAGGTTCAAGCAATCAGGCACCCACCTGGAGAAACAAAGGAAGACAGTTCAAAGGAAAAGCAGCTCAAGTTTCAAAGGAAGATAGTGCATGTTCAACAATCAGGCGCCCACCTGGAGAGCAAGGGAAAATGGTGCAAGCTTCGAGGGAAAACAGTTCCAAGTAGCAAGAGAAAATGGTTCGAGTTTCTGCAATCAGGCGTCGACCTGGCAAACAAGGGAAAACAAGTCAAGTTTCAAGGGAGCACAGCTAAAGTTTTGGTAATCAGGCGCCCACCTGGAGAGCAAGGGAATATAGTTCAAGTTTTGGCAATCAGGCACCCACCTGGAGAGCAAGGGAATACAGTTAAAGTGTTGGAAATCAGGCGCCCACCTGGAGAGCAAGGGAATACAGTTAAAGTGTTGGAAATCAGGCACCCACCTGGAGAACAAGGAGAAGCAGTTAAAGTTTTGGCAATCAGGCACCCACCTGGAGAACAAGGAGAAGCAGTTAAAGTTTTAGCAGTCAGGCGCCCACCTGGAGAGCAACGGAATACAGTTAAAGTGTTGGAAATCAGGCACCCCCCTGGAGAACAAGGAGAAGCAGTTAAAGTTTTGGCAATCAGGCACCCACCTGGAGAACAAGGAGAAGCAGTTAAAGTTTTGGCAATCAGGCGCCCACCTGGAGAGCAAGGGAATACAGTTAAAGTGTTGAGCAAGGGAATACAACTAAGGTTTTGGTAATCAGGCGCCCACTTGGAGAGAAAGGGAATACAGCTAAGGTTTTGGTAATCAGGCGCCCACCTGGAAGCAAGGGAATACAGTTAAAGTTTTGGCAATCAGGCGCCCACCTGGAGAGCAAGGGAATACAGTTCAAATATTGTAATCAGGCGTCCACCTGGAGAGCAAGGGAATACAGCTAAGGTTTTGGTAATCAGGCGCCCACCTGGAAAGCAAGGGAATACAGTTAATGTTTTGGCAATCAGGCGCCCACCTGGAGAGCAAGGGAGAACAACACCAGTTTTAAGGAAGGGAGGCAATTTAAGTGTCGGTAATCAGGAGCTCACCTGGGGAACAAAGCAACTCAAAGTATTGGTAATCAGGAACCCACCTGAAGAACAAAGCACCAATGTTCGAAAGAAGACAATTCAAGTTCAGCAATCGGGCGCCCACCTGAAGAAAAGGGAAAGCATCTTAGATTACAATTCAAGTCGGCAACAAAGGAACTTCACTTGGAAAATACAAGTCAACAAGGCAACAGGAATCACAAGATCAAGTTTGAGGATATAGATAGTATTTTTGTAATGCATAGATCATAGTTTAGTCTAGCTTCTTTTATTTTGTCATGGTGTAATAAGGAGTTCAGTAAGCAGCAGCAACAACAACAGCAACAGTAAAATCACAGCTTCATGGTAGTCCCAGCTACCGAAACTTCCCGAACTACACTGACCTGATTCCTTTACAGCCAAGGATATGTAGGCAACCTCGGAAGCAGGGTGCGGTCAAATCTTGCAAAAATGCTTCCCACGGAGTATTCAAACGGGCAAAAATCGCTCGTATCTGCTCACTTTATCTTTGCATGAAAACTCTTCGTGTTTCCGAGCAAAGAGGGGCAGCTGTGAGCACGTGATTTTTGCCCTATATGAATTACTCCCACAAATTCAAAATAAAATAAGTTCTTCCATTGTTTGCAATTTCATGGATTTTCACTATCTGGTCTTCCTTGGCTAATTTCACTATCTGATTGATTGAATCTGGGGCTGACTTCTGCTATTGTTACTGCTGATCCCTCACTTCTTATTTCCTTTCATTTCCAGGTAATTGTCGAAACCATGGACATCACTTGAATGTAACTTGAAGTTCGAATCTGAAATGTGATCAAATCTGATGATTGTTTGTTGTTGAAGTTTCATTTCTCTCTCTTTCAATTTCATGCACAGCCTGTACTACTTAGCTTAGAAAGATCCTAACTAAGTATATTTATCAGTGAATAGGAAATAACTAAATCTGTAATCAGCTAATTCCTGTTGGATGTATCTTTTAAGTTTTTTTTGTTTTTTTTTTTGTTTTAGTTTAGTCTTGGTTTGAAATAGGGAACAAATTATGGTTTAGCTGTTTGGATTTTATGAGTTGGAGCTTATTGTTGTATATAAAAGGGACTTTTAAGGATATTTGCGAAGGGTATTTGCATGCAGAGTTCAAGTCGTATGGTAGCTCAGTTGAAATCAATGCATTATTTTGAGTAGCTTTCTGATCTTAGGTTATGGTATATAACTTCTCTTTGGAGTCTAAATCAGCGAATGTTTACTGTTCTTTCGAGATTATGGAATGCTGTTGGCACGAATTGTGATGGTATTAGATGATAGATAACAAAAATGAATTGATGTTTGGATTGTAGCTTCTGCATAAAAAGTGAAGATAGGTGTATTCCAATCAGTAATTGTTTGATTTTCTTAAAAGCAGTATGATTTGTAAATTCGAAAGCAAATACTTGATATTCTGTGCTATGTGTGGACTCAAACTGGAGTCTCAATGTCTGCTAAAACTGGTCCATTTTTTAATTTGGGCTCCCTCTTGGGCCCGATGTGGACTGTCATGGAATTGTTGTTTGGATAGCCTTACGTTTGGCAGGCTATTGGGCCTCATGCTAGGCCCACACATTATTTCTGAATCATCCGCCCCTTTCCTTTTTTTAAAAAAAAAAGACAATCCTTTTAGTTAGTTTGGACATAGTAGAATCCCAGCTCCTAATGCTTAGAAAATTAAGCTTTCTTTGAATAGTTAAGGTGAGCCACGTTAAAGAGGATATAGCTTTGGGCCCTCGAGAGTTTAGCTTGAATTCCCTTTAAAATTGGAGATGAGGCATGCCGTGCCAAATATAATCTGAAAATGTATGGCCCTCATTTAATTAATATTACTATCCTTAGAAATCGAGGCGTGCCATTTAGCGAATCCTCCATGGCCCTCGCAAAGTTGCAAATGCGTAGTTGCTTTAGACGCGATATTTTAATAATTTACCTTCCTAAGGGTGCGCAATTATGTGACCCAAATCCAAATCTCAACAACGTTAAATAAAATGTGTTGCGGACTGCGGGTGCATTTATGTGACGCGGTTCAAGATATATTTTAGATGACGTTGCAATTTTTTCGTAAAAATAATTAAAAGCGGTCATATAGGTTAAAATTGAACCATAGGCTAAAACATGTATTAAAATCAGTTAATTGGCCAATTATAACAGTTGAGCGACCGTGCTAGAACCACGGAATCCGGGAATGCCTAACACCTTCTCCCGGGTTAACAGAATTCCTTACTCGGATTTCTGTGTTCGCGGACTGTAAAACAGAGTCAATCTTTTCTCGATTCGGGATTTGAATTGGTGACTTGGGACACCATAAATTATCCCAAGTGGCGACTCTGAACTTTAAAAATAATCCCGTTTCGATTGCCACTTTAAGTTGGAATAACTCCCTCAAACTACCTTTCGGGGGTAGGAAAAAGGAGATGTGACAGACTCTTCCGCGCCAGGTGCATCTGCTAGTCATTTTGGTGCTAGGGGTCCCCTTCAGTCCCCGTCTCTGGAACCAAGGAGTTGTTATGAGTGTTGGGAGTTGGGACATATGCGGAGGCAGTGTCCTCGTCGCTTTGGGGGTTCATCTCAGCAGAGGGGTCAGCTATCGACTTCGGCACCAGTTACTTCACCATCCACCCAGCCAGCTAGGGGTGGAGGACAGTCATCCAGGGGTCGCCCAAGGATCCGGTGGTGGTCAAGCCCGTTTCTATACACTCCCAGCTAGATCGGATGCGGTTGCCTCAGACGCGGTGATTATAGGTATTATCTCAGTTTGTCGCAGAGATGACTCTGTGTTATTTGATCATGGCTCTACTTTCTCTTATGTGTCATCTTATATTTCCCATTATTTTGATATGCCCTGCGAGTCTCTCATTTCTTCTGTTCATGTCTCTACTCCGGTGGGCGATACTGTTGTGGTAGACCGTGTATCCCGGTCGTGTGTTGTGTCTATTGGCATTTTGGAGACCCAAGTGGATCTTCTGTTATTATGTATGGTAGACTTCGATGTGATATTATTGGTTATCTCCGTGCCGGGCTATTTTGGACTGTCATGCCAAGACAGTAACATTAGCTATGCCGGGTGTGCCACGGATTGAGTGGCGAGGTTTGTTTGATTATGTTGCCAGCTGGGTAATCTCATTCTTGAAGGCTCAACGTATAGTTGGGAAAGGTTGCTTTTCATACTTAGCATTTGTGAGGGATGTCAGTGCAGAGACTACAAGCATTGATTCTGTTCCGGTTGTGAGGGATTTTCCAGAGGTGTTTCCTGTAGACCTGTCGGGCATGCCACCGGACAGGGATATCGATTTTGGTATTGATCTGGTGCCGAGCACTCAGCCCATTTCTATTCCACCGTATCCTATGGCACTTGCGGAGTTGAAGGAGCAGCTTTAGGAACTCCTTAATAAGGGGTTTATTCGGCCTAGTGTGTCGCCTTGGGGTGTGCTTGTTCTATTTGCGAAGAAGAAGGATGGCACGATGAGGATGTGCATTGATTACAGGCAGTTGAACAAAGTAACAATCAAGAACAAGTACCCTTTGCCTCGTATCGATAATTTGTTCGACCAGCTTTAGGGAGCGAGGGTGTTCTCCAAGATTGATATTCGTTTTGGGTATCACCAGCTAAAGATCGGGGACTTGGATATTCTCAAGAAAGCTTTCAGGATCCGATATGGTCACTATGAGTTCCTTGTGATGTCTTTTGGGCTGACCAATGCCCCAGCAGTGTTCATGCATTTGATGAACAGCGTGTTTCAGCCTTATCTCGACTCGTTCGTTATTGTTTTCATTGATGATATTCTGGTATACTCGCGTAGTCAGGAGGAGCACGCGGAGCATTTGAGAGTGGTGTTGCAGAGATTGAGGGGAGAAGCTTTATGCAAAGTTCTCCAAATGTGAGTTTTAGCTCAGTTCAGTGGCTTTCTTGGGGCACGTGGTGTCCAGCGAGGGTATTCAAGTTGATCCAAAGAAGATAGAGGCGGTTCAGAGTTGGCCTAGACCGTCCCCAGCCACAGAGAATCACAGCTTCTTTGGTTTGGCAGGTTATTATCGCTGGTTTGTTCAGGGATTCTCATCTATCGCATCGCCATTGACCAAGCTGACTCAGAAGGGTGCACCATTTCAATGGTCGGATGAGTGTGAGGAGAGCTTCCAGAA